CCCTGTGGCCGAATGTGGGCGATTTGAGCATGACGACCTATTGAAAACACAAGAAACAACAAAACCATGTGGACATAGTGAATAAATTGAGAGTCTGAAAAGGAATAGGCATATTTACGGAGTTTAAAAGAACCTCCTTACAAAATACTATGTAATTACAAAGAGGGAAAGGTAAGTGCACTGGAGAAGTGCGGCAGATACATTTTAACCAAAGGATCCAATGACTGTCATCAGTACTGGGACAAATCAGACTTGCGTGACTAACAGGCACAAGGACGAGAGCAGAGCCCCACGGGAGGCACAGGATCCCACTCTCACCATGAGAAACACCCACCAAGTCAAATTGGCTTGTAACCTCCAAAAGTTTCAAAATCATGAAAGTCAGGGGAGACTGAAGAACTGCTCCAAGGCAACCAAGGAGAGTGACAGCTGAATGCAGGGACAGACTGCACACCAATCCTGTGGCTCCACGGGACCGTGGGACACCGGCTAGACCTGAGAGGTAACAACGACCACTGTCTGTTTCCTGAATCTGGCCGCCTGAGCTGTTTCATGCAGGAGGCTGTCTTCACTTACACAAAGTACAGCCTTGAGGTCAGAGTGCTCTGGGGGGTGGGGGCCAGTGGAGCGTAAGGCTAGAAACTTACTCTCTAACGCATCTTCGTATTTTTAAATATCTATGATTATTTCAAGCTGATGATGTGGTAGCCCACCTGGGGTCAGCCTCCTGGAGAAAGCAGAGTGAGGAAGGCTGAAAGAGAAAAGACAGCCTCCTTACCCGCCAGGGGTCTCCTCATGACCACTGGACCAGGTGCCCATTTGAATCTCCCTGCTGATAGCCTCCCATGGATTCGGGGTTTCCTGTCCACTCTCTGGCTCCCTCCCTACTCCTTGTCTACCATCTCTCACAAGCCCACGTGTTTCTCTGCAGTGACTGCGGGATCTCCCAGCCCCGTCAGACCCCATAGCTGAAGCGTTAATCTAAGCAGTTTTTATTACTAACTCCATCCTCTCCAGGCTCAGGACCTGAACATACAGGTATGATCAGGACTGGACGTTTCACAGAGTAGGAGCTTCTCAACCCAAAGTGTTAAAACCAGACTCAACATCTACCCTCCACAGCGGCACCATTAGCTGACTGCTGTGCTTCTCCCCCAGCCCACCTCCATTACTCTGCCCCTCATTACATAGCCCCTATCAGAGCTTCCTAAAAATTAGATTTCTGAAGTATCTCTGGCCTCCACCACAGGGCGTCATTCCACCCAGGAAATGGTGGGCGCTCTGTGTTCAAGAGTAGGCTCAGGTGCTTTAAATCAGTTTGCAAATCCATTTCCTTAGCTAGCATCATTGTTTAAGAAGTAGTCATATGATCTGAGCAGCCCCAGTTGTGTGAATCTTAGGTTTTTTCTTTGTAATGCTAGGACACAAGTATTTTCCCCATGAATGTGGACCAGTGGATAAGTCCCCCCTGATTTGCTCAGGTAGCCATCCTACCACAAGGTGATTCAGGTCTAGAACAATGCCAAGAGGGCAGAAGAATCTTTAATTTTACTGATTAAGTAATGATTTTATCAGTCCTTGATAATAACTGATAAACCAACAACCCAAAGCCCACTTGAACCCCTATCTTCTAATTACCTAACCAATAAATCCCCTTTTTATTTAAGTCAGTTTGACTTGGATTTTCTGTTACTTGCAGTTAAGCATATGAAGGAGAGTAAAATAAATGTAACACTAGATGTGACAATGTCATAAAATAACTAGAAGCCAAAAGGAAAAAAACTTGCTGAGATAAACAGACCTCTAAAAAAGAAAAGAGGTGCAAATATAGAAAAATGAAATACTAGACAGGCTGGCAGTTTGGCATAATGACGTTGACACTGGAAGATAAATGGAAAACCTAACTTCTCATACTTTAAAGATGTAATAACGGAATGAACCCTGGCTTCATATGGTGTAGAAGAGGAGGCCCTGTAGGACTGCTTTGGGGGAAAATCAGGCAGAAACCTGGGGAAGTCAAAGAAAAGAAATGAGAAAGCTAGGACTTACTAGGACTTGCAAAAATATGTGAGGACAAACTTTCAAGCAAATGAAATCCTTCAGCACTTCACGTAATGGTAGCTCCTCCAATGAATGTCTGCAATCAGGTTCACCCCCAGGTCTGCCCTCCCTGCCCCTGCCCAGGCAAGTGCAGCAGTGCTTGGATGCCCCCAGGCCAGCAGCTGTGGCATGTCGAGGCTGCCGCCTTAACGCGCCTGTCCCTTTCTCGAGGGGAGGGCCGAACTCACCTCGAGCCAGGTACCAGGGGGCCGGGAGCTCTAAATTCCCAGGTTTCAGATGCTGACAGGCTCACAGAACCCTCCCATCCTCCCAAGCCACCCCAAATACAATCCCCAGTTGGCCGTCCTGACCCTTTATGACTGAATCCCATAGGCAATCTGTCATTTATTTCCATTCTTCCAAGTTGCAACTATGTCTGGAATTCAGTCCTTTCATTTCCAAGGCCGAAGTCCAAGGTCAGACCCTTACCTCATATCTGTTCTTGCAGTTGCCTCCTACCTAGTCTCCATCTCATCTTCCTGCCTGTTCATCCTCACTCACAAGGCTACTAGCTCCCAGTGAGGCATGCATTTCATTTATTTTTTTGGTCCTCATCCCTTCCCCATGTCCAGGCACTAAATTAACTGTTGAAATTATCTTTGCATGCCGTTTCTCACTTGTAAAGTTTCTGATGGTACCCGCTGGTTTCAAAGAGCTCGGTCTGCAGCCAGGTCCTCAGGGTTACAGACCATATCCCCTGTCAGCTCTCTCTGAAGGGTGTCCACTTTTCCCCTGCACAGATACTGTACCTTATTCATTTATATTTCTCACAATAACTAGAAAAAACTGAGTAGCAGAAACTCTTATAGACTGAATACAATACTGTCCTCAGACTGGCCTCTTGGGTTCCTGAAATACCAGGCCAATTTTAGGACAGTCTGCCATGTCTCATTCTGAGAAGACTCATTGAATATCTTGTATATGCCAAATCTTAGAGCAGGAGCTGGAGACAGAACTGTAAACCAGATAAACCAACCATATGTTGAAGTGGAAGAAATAATTGTGTAGCTCACCAATCACCCCTCCTCCCCCAAAGCAGTTTTTCTTAATAATACTTGGATTCAATTCCCAGGCACACAAGCTTGGGACCCCAAGAGTCACTGGCAACTTTCCCCTGTCCTTGCCTCGTGTGTCATGTGACAAAATGCGAAACTGCCACTGCTGGGGATGCTGGTGACGGTGGTGCTGGCTGCCTCATCCTCCACTTTAATCTCAGCACCATTCTCCAAATGCAGGCCTCATTTTGCCTTTTTGGAACCTCTAAAATTGCTTTCTAACAATTCTTTCCACTTTTATGCTTCCCATCTCTAACATCCCCTTTCAGTAGTGCCAGAATAATTTTCTTAAAAATCAGCGATCTTATTATATTACAGCTCTGCTCAAAAGCTGTCAAGGCTTTGCTCTGCAAACCCAGGGAGAACATTGTTCACACCCTTTAGGCTCACACTCAAGGATATTCCAAACCGGCCTTTCCAGATTCATCAGTACTGTTCTTCCTACAGTCCAGACTCTCACAAAATTAGCTCTGATTTTGTTTCTTTGAACCTTTCACTTGGTCCATTTCCATCTCTTTTCTTCAAATTCTGCCCATATCTCAAGGGCCAATTCAAGGATCTTAAATTGGTCTCAGATTTTTCCCTTCTGCATATGAAAGCTCAGTATGCTTTGTGCTCACATCTTTCTACATCACATTTGGATTATTCACAAATATAGCTGACGTGCCCAACTAAAGTGCATTAATCAGATTCATTAACAATTAAAGGGTACTTGCTCTCTTTCCACTATTCCAAAGCACCTAAAACATATCACTTTTATCATAAACATTAAACAAATGCTCACAGAATGAGGGCAAACTCCCAAAAATACCCCAAATCAAAATATTTTTGTAAATATGAACAATAATCTAAATAAAAAGAAATATATAACAATGGTAGAAAACTTTAGCTCAACAAGTTTTTAAGTATGTATGAAAGGAGATGGGTAGGTTAGTAGAAAACAGAACGAAATAAAAAGCTAAGAAAATATATTCCAAATATTATGGAAATATTGAATCAATCTTGCCCATTTCAGTTTATGGATGAACTTATCATTTTGGGACGCAAATTCTTACACACACACACACACATTATGTCCACCAACTGGAAGCTATACACAGGCAAAATTTATTGAACTAAGAATCACAAGGAAATTTTTCCTCGTTACCATTTAATAGTCTTTGTGAAATTTAATAAGAGTTTATGTGATGAAACATTTTTTTTTCCTTTTCTTTTTTATGGAAACAGCAGTAGAAGATGATTGATGCCTGCTACTATGGGTCTGTGTTTGTTTTTTCTTATTTTAGAGGCTCTTCAAAAATATAAAAATAAATTAAAGCATTTTCAGTTAAACTAAAAAAAGATAAAAGGTGATTATTTATAGACAATCACATTCATGATGATAGACTCTCAGAAGGCAATGGCAAACATAAATTTTAAATGCTTTCTGGAAAGAGTTCAGAATGAAAACATTTACATAATTTCCTAGAAACCTGGCTTTTATTGCTGTACTTCAATATTCCCTCCAGGCCAAATAGCAGCTACTTCAAAGATTTATTTGATGATGCAATATCTGATCTCTTTGTCTTCCCTTCCCAATGTGGGCAGATTTGTTGTTTTCACTCTAGGGCTATGAGCTGTGTTTTAAAATCTGAACTGGCTCTCTGCTGATAATACAAAATGGTACTTTTCTGGCAGATTAAACAAATACACAGAGGCCAACAATAAGTACAGAAGTCACATAAACTTGCTGCATTCTTACAAAAAACCCACCCATCCACGTGTCAGTCATCTCCCATAACAGACCTGCCATTTCCTCATCACGGAACGAGTGACTGAGAGCAAATGTTTAGAACTTCTGCTTACCTGCCTATCCACTTCTGGGAGCAAAAGGAGGAGGTACTGTTGGAAATGCTGAGGTAAGGAGGCAAACGTGTGCTTATTTATTAACGCTCTCAAGTTGGTGTTGACGAGAATAGATCCTGGGGTTTCTATGTCGATGTCCTCAGCTTTGGTCCATTTCAAGTGTCCTGATAAACAAGCAAGAGCTTATCTATTGGGAAGAACATGCATGCACACACATGCACATATGTATGTATTGAACATGTGCATGTATACATATTCTGTAATGTGTTTAATTCTATTCCTTTTAAAAATAATATTTCACAAGGAAATCTCCAAAACTTCTTTTTGTCTCTTACCTTAATTGTCTTTAATTTTCATAATGTATAATTCACATAATACCATCTATATTTTTAACTCAAAGGAACACCAGGACTAGATAAACATGTATTTTAATTATGACTCCAAATTTATTCAGAATTTCCAAAAATTCTGGGGGAATAAATGGTAATAACTACATTGTCTGTAGATTCTCCAAGAGCTAAAATCAGTGGTAGGTAGCAATGGTAGCAGTGCCACTAATTCTAATGCAATGACGGCACTGAGAGCTGGTGGCTGTGCACTCCACGTCCGGCTGAGCACTGGGCGCTGGATCACTTCAGAGGATTTCTACTTGCGGAACTTTGAGGGCTATAATTTAAAAAGCAATCTTTTACTGAAATATTAGCTAGAAGATTTAAAATGCTAATATGTTTGGAAGGATAATTTTACAACTTAAGGCACACTGCCCTGAAACAGAAGGATGTATGGAGAGCCCACAGCTTGAAGTTTTGACACACAAGAAAATAACCCACCATAGGGAACAGTCATCAAACAGAATTACCATTCTTAGTTACTTGAGTTAAGAGAACCACTTGAATGTAATTTTTTTTATTAAGGTATCATTGATATACAATCTTTTGAAGGTTTCACATGAGCAAACATTATAATTACAACATTCACCCACATTATCAAGTCCCCCTCACACCCCACACTGGAATGTAATTTTAATGGAGTATGTTTTCAATCAAGGGTCAGCAAATGATGGACCACAAGCTACATCCAGTCCACCTGTTTGGGTAAATGAAGATGCAACAGAACACAACCACGCCCAGTTTGGATATTCCCAGGTCTGCCTTTGCACTACAGCACAGAGATGACTGCCTGGGGCAGGACTCTGGTGCCCTGCAGAGCCTACAGCATTTACTTTCTGGTCCTTGACAGAAAAAAATGGCCAACCCTGTTTTAAGTAAGTAGACATAAAAGAAGGAATAAAAACCATTATGAATAAATAGGATACTATTATAAAAGAATAGGCAAATTTGAAATACAGTGTCTGGAATGAAAATTTATTTTTTAAATAAAAAAAATATTCAATAGACACAGCAGAGGGAAGAATTACTGAAAAGTTAAAACATAGTGTTGATGAAAATATATAGAATGTGTCATAAAAAAATGATGAGTCAAAAACCAGGATAGAGAAGAAACACAGGGAGTAGAATAAGCACCAGAATGAGCAAGCAGCAGACGGAGGACAGGCGATATTTGAAGGGTTAGTGGCTGGGATTTTTAGAATTGAAAAAATGACAAGATTCATCAGCTAAAGCAATACTCCAAATCTCAAGGAAGATAGCTACCCATTTCTCTATTTGATGTGTTGAAAGCACAAAATATCAAAAATAATAATATCTTAAAAAATTCTAAACAAAAATAGATTATTTCCAAGGGGGTGACATTGAAACACAGAAACCTTATCATCAATAAATAACAGATCAAACAGGAATATCTTCAAAGGGCCAAGAGAATAGAAAGTCAACCTAGAACTTCATTAATAACAAAGTCTCTCAAAAATGGCATGATACAAAAGCATTTTCTGTGCCTAAAATGGGAACTTGATCCTTTAGAGAATCGCATAAATCACCACCACTAGTGGATGTTTTCAATAAAGAAGAAACTGAATCGAAGAAGGAACGAGTGGGTAGTGGAGCGATGGTGAACAGACAGATGGACAGACATGAGCGACTCCAAGTAAACATTGACTGAGAATAACAGGAACAACTAATGAGAGTCAAAACAAAGTGGGAATAAAATAACAGAAAAATAACCGCATCAAGTTCGGGGGGTGGCGGACAGGAGAGTGCTGTTGAACCTCGGCACTGTTTGGGAGGAAAGGAGATCAGGCTAGTTTCTGACCTGGTCAAACTCTTCAGTAGGTGTGGGAAGAAATGAGGAAGAATCCTAACTTCCAGGTAAGTGCATGGAAGGAAACTCACCCAGTCAAATGAAGGCCATAAAAGGAGGAAAAAACTGAAAATTAAGCCCAACACAAAATAAGCATCAATGGGTTTTCATATTAGATTAAAAAATACAATCCAGTTATATGTAGCTTACAAAAGATAAACTTAAAGGGAAAATCAAAAGGAATGGATGAAAATGAGACAAACTAGGACATACTAAGCAGAGACTCACATAAACAAAAGATGCGATACTGTAATATCAACATCAGACAAAATAGCAAAGGTAGAAACACCTTATTGGGACAAGAAGGAGTAACTCATTGAGAAGATGCGATGGATGACCTTAAACCTGCCCCCACTAAAGTAGCATATCACTCAAGCATTTTAGATTGAGGGAATTAGAAAGAGAAAGTAGCATTACACAATGCTGGTAGGAAGTCTTAACATATTTTACCAGAAACAGAGAGATCAGACAAATGGAGAGCTTGAGCAACTCAAAAATCAATCTTGAACCAACAAATTTAACATTTAAATGTAACATCTAACATAGGGCACCGTGCTGAGCATTAGAGAAAGCAATTTTTTGTCAGCACTCACAGAACAGTAAGAGGAAAAAACCTGACCCGTGGATCTCAACAAATACTAATGAATATTATAAAACCTTGTCTCTGTCTCCAAAGAAGGAGAACTGGGCAACATAGACCTGGGGGCTCTCTAACCCTCCACACCCGTTATGCATTTGGACATTCAAGAGCCCACTTGTAAGTATTTCAGAAGTTAAAAAACATTTTAGTGGAAGTCGCAAAATATTTGGATTCTAAATGACAATGCCAGAAATCTGTAAAATGCAGTTTAATTGGTTTTAAAGGGATACTGTATATATTACAAAGTGGAAAAAAAACATTAAAAATTAAAGGGTTACAAAATTCAAGGGTATGAATCAAGATGCTAATAAATAAACTACAGAATAAACTCACAAAAAAGAAGGATGGAAAAATTGTAAAAATAAGCATAGACAATCTTTAATAGAAACTGGGACAATGGAGACCATCAGTAACAACAAAAAACGTGTTTTGTATTAGACTAATGCAAATATGCTGTGAGAGACGGCATAAACAAACGTGAACACCAGTGAAAAGTAGGAACATAATTCTAGATACAGCATAGATTTACAAGGCAGATATAATTAAAAATAGATTTTAAAGAGCATTATACAGTACTATGACTTTGCCTAATACTTTTGAAGACAAAGTACTTTTAAGTTTATAAACTTTCAAATTTAACCTAAAACTAGAAAACCTGAATAAATTTGTAAAAACTTTTTGATAAAGGACAAATAGGCAACTTTCCTTATCCCACATATAAAGTACATATTATAAATAACTGTAAAGATGAATTTTACCAGGACATCGTGAGTGCTCACACCACTTAACTCTGCACATATTCCAGAGAATAGGTAAAGAAAGCTCTTCAACTCACTGTATGACGTTAATGTAATGTTTTTTTCCAAAATAAGGACAAACAAGGACAGTATGAGAGAAAAATTATCACTTATATAGACACGAACAAATACAAAAGTTGTATCTACTTTTTAAAGAATTTAAAGCAAATCTGACCACTCTGACATTTACTGAGTCAAGGTGATGAGTAAGTAGGGGTCTGCTTTACTAGAATCTGTATTTTTCTATATGTTTGAAGTATTTTACAATAAAAAAAACAGACCAGTAGGAGAGAAGAATTAGCAAAGACGTGCTTTTCTAGCAGTGGAGGCAAAGACAAAACCTACAGAATGTTGACAAATATAGGAAAGGAATTTGCTTAATTTTTATTTATGGACTAAATACTTCCCCAATAAAGGAAGTAGGTCATTTTCCAGGAGTGATTCTGACTAGGAGGGAGTGTTGGGGAGATAATGAGAAATTTGTAAAACTTCTGAAACATGTTATGAGCAATGTGAGAGGAAGACACACTACTGTTACTATTAGGATGGTTCAAATCTTTACAAATATAGTAAGAAACAAGAGGATTCAGACAGGTACACAGTCTTCTATGACAAAGCCAAAAGATCTATTCCCAAGATATACATCTAAACAAAAATATGCTTCACAATTTTTCAACAAAGATAGCAGATGAACTTACTGCTAAATTTGTTGCTATACAGGATGTTTAATTCCATTTTAACTGCCCTTACATGCTTACTCTTTAACTGACCTAAGATCAGTCCAATTATATCTGATTCTTATTTCATTAAAGCTGGTACCTTGTCTCCCTGCAGTATCCAGAGGAAAAAAAGATACAGTAATTTTAGTGTCCAATTTCTGGACACCACAGAGTATAAAGAAGTTGAGGTCCAGGGAAGAGGGAAGAAAAGCAACAATGGCCAATTCACCCCACTGAGAGTCTGACCTACATGAGAGAGCACTAGGTGGGCCTCATGATAAAGATCATGGGAAACATGTCCAGCCAGCATCAGGGAGATTTTCTCCTATTTGGCCAAAGGGAGTTGAAAGAACACCAATCTGAGTAAAGTGCACTTGAGCTACTGCTGATCACTGGGAAATCTGCTGGCTTAGAGACTCCTATTTCCCAGAAGGGAACCCGCACAGGATTCATGCACAAAATGCACAAACACACAGACACACACGTACGCAGAAGGAAGGGAACATGCAAGAGGCAGACCAGGGACTTCAGTTACACGAGACGCTGCTCAGAGAAATACAGGAAGAGTTGTTCCTTGTCTCGTATTAGAGAGGAATGACCCTGAAGGAGCTCAAAGAAGAGAAAACAGGTTTTCAAAGAGTAAAATCCAAGGAGAAGAATTTATCAGAGGACAAAATCTAACCATCTATGACTCAATACATCAGAAACGAGGTGATTGTGTAGGAAGTCTATTGGGGGTACTGGCTCCATTA